ATTTAGCATAATCCTACTTGGTATAACATCAGCAACAACTTAAGAGATTTTAGTCAAAAAATAGAAGTGGCAATGAATATGTAGACATATTTAACCTCCAATTAAGGAAATGCAAATATAGCACAACCATAAAATATCATTTTCACATACGGATGAGCCGGAGTTAAAAAGATTGAAAATGTTCTACGTTGGCAAGTCTGAAGAGAAAGGAAGTTTTGGCAAAAAAGGATCGCTACTCAGTACAAACTGTTACAACCACATTTTGCAAAGCAATAGGGCATTATGTATCAATCAAAATTTAAGTGTGCATCCCCTTTAATGCAACAATACCATTTCTAGGCTTTTATCTTAAGAAAACAATAGGACAAGTATATAAAAATACACATACAAAGTTGTCCTTCCCAGCCACAAAAATAGAAATAACAGAAAAGTGCAACATAGGAAATTCAACACAGCACAGTTCAGCCAAATACAACTTTTTAAAGCCATGTGGCACTAGAATTATCAAAAGAAAAATAGATCCATAGTACATTTTTAGGTGTAATGAGAAGGCCAGCTTTCAAACATAAAGGAGTACAAGGGCGAGGGGTATAGTTCAGTGGTAGAATGCTTGCCTAGCATGCATGAGGTCCGTCAGTCCAAAGAACCACTAAATAAAGAAATAAATATTCAGATAAATGATTCCATTCTTTATTTAAAAATAACTATTTGTGAGTATGTATTTGCATTTCCTAAGAAAAGGTTGGGATTGATTTTATTTGGTTTTGCCATGATGCATGGTACAACAGAACAGATAATATCTACATAGTATTTGGGTATATATCGGGGTGGAGGAGAGACAGTCATGAGGAAATGACATTCTCAGTGGCGTGTTGATAAATACTTATCAACCGTCCTTCAAGGAGGGGCAGAATGGAGTTTCTCCTAGTGTAGGATGCACAGATTTCTAGGACATAATCACTACCAATATTATTAATTTGAAACTACAAATGTGATATCTCTGAATATGGAGTTGGGAAAAGATGTGCAGTTGTACACCATTACACAGTATTTTCATGGTACAGGCACAACAGATAAAATTTTGAGAACATAAGCCAGGCACGGTGGCACATGTCTATAATCCCAGCAAGCTCAGGAGGCTGAGGCAAGAGGACTAAGAATTCAAATCCAGCCTCAACAACTTAGCAAGGACCTAAGAAATTTACTGAGACCCTGTCTCAAGATTAAAATAAAAAGGGCTAGGGATGTGGCTCAGTGGTTAAGCACCCCTGGGTTCAATCTCTGATACCAAAAAATAAAAGAATATAGATAATATCAAAAAAATTATATAATAATAATTTGTAGTAAAATAATTAAAAAGTGGTGAATCGTATGTATGTATTTTTTTTTAAGTTTGGAAGAAGAGTTGCCTATATGGTAATATTGATGGTGTCCAGATGTAAACTCATGAATCATATCTACTTCATTCTTTAGACCCTTATTTGCCATTTCAATATTTTAACACTAAACATGTTACCTTTATAGTCAGAAAAAAAATTCACAATTTTTTCCCCTTATCTGCTAAAACCTAAGAAAGAAAGAAAAAAATTTCCAAGGCATTATTACTTTTAAGAGAAGTCTTGCTGGCACAAAATGCTTCCCAGCATGGTTTTATTAGTGTGAACAATGTTTGCCCTAATCAATCCATGATATATCCACTCAGTCATGTTATAAGGAAACGAACATTAATGTTCATATGTCCTTTCCTAACAGAAATAAGAGACATTAGATTTCAAAGTGATTTGAACTCCCAAATAGTCTGATTCTCTCACTTCATAAATCAAGAAACTGAGTCCCAAGATGGGTGTTTTCTCTAAATGAGCACTACACAAGACAATTACAAAGTAAGTCAGAGGCTCTCCATTTATAAATGGTCTCTATAGAGAATAAAAATATATATTCCTCTTGTTCTTATTTAATGAGAAGGGATGACCTCATTTTGTGGAGTAGTATTCATTCAATTGGGTAATTGTGGAGTCTCTGATTCCTCCTACCTTTGTTCAGACAATAGCAGCTCACACTCCAAACATTATTTCTCAAAACACTTCCACATAGATGTTGCCGGTTGATCCTCTTAGGAACCCTGTGAGACAGGCAGGGTAAGGACCACTCCTAGTTGATAGATAAGAAGACTGGAGCTATAACAGGCAAGTGGCTTCCCAAGGCTAGTGAGAACCAGGTCTCTGGCTGGACACAGAGCTCTCTGGGCATCTCCTATCTGAGGCCTTTCCAAAGCAGCCATCTGGATGAACCTTCTTCAAAGGTCACTTTCTCCCCTTCTCTTCCTCATCTTTCCAACAAATTCTTTTTTCCTTTGGCAATTTAACAATTATCAGCCTACACACATTTCTGTTCACTTCTAGAATTTTACTTGTAGCTCCCTAGTTACAGAGATTGCTAACAGAAAACTTTCTGTAGTTCATAAGACACCTACCTGTCTTATGCTTCACATAGTGGTTGTTATTCATTCAGGTCACCTGTGTTGCTCTTTAGTTATTTCTTTATTTTAGAATAAAAGATAACTCCAGCCATCTTTAGGCCTGGAATATTCCTGTTCTTTCTTGACATACAGGCTAAGCCCCAGAATATTGTTTTCTCTCGAAATTGGAAGTCATTTCGTATCATCAGAGAAATTATTTGGCCAATGTCCAAAGAACAGGTCAAGAAACTGCAAATGCTTTGGTGTGACACATTTTTAGACCATCATGGCTTCCTAAAAAGGACTAACCTGGAAGTTGGTGAAGACAGACTCAATGAGGAACTACAAATTACATGTACCAAAACAGACCCTGGGTGAGCTTGGGTGATGGTCTCCTCAGCCTCATTTCATTAAGGGAAGAAATGTGTTAAGAGCACACAGTATCCCCAGAAAGAACTGAAAATTTTCAATGCAGATCCAGAGACACACAGCTACCAGCTTTATCCACATGGCACTCCAGTCCCTGGACTTACTGACTGATGCAACCCCGAGCAGATTCCCTGGGGATGGATTTCCCCATCTTTACAATGAGGATCATGATACCTACTTTCCAGGGTCATGGTGAAAACTCAATTAGCTACTCCCCAAGAAAAGGCTTTATAAACTCAAACTCAGCATAAAAACCTGTGGAATATCTTTAAGTGATCTAGATCATTTTTGAATTTCATTGCTGTGGGCAAAGGATGGAGGAGTGAGAAAGGGATTTGGTGTCAAATAGCGCCAGGCAGGTGGCCAGGTTTCTGCAGGCAGAACAGGGGAGCCACCAGAGCATACTAATGCTGCGCCTCTGCTGAGACTACTGGTCAAATGACTCCTCACCAGAAAACACAGTGTCCCCTCGACAGCAAAGACGCTCTCCTGGCTGGCCAGGCTTACAGCCACACACAAAACTAGGCTGACCCCCTGATGCATTGATGGTGACTGTAGAAAGATGAACTGCTAACAAAGCTGCTTTGTTGGGAGAAATCTGTACCACCAGGGAAGAGGTAGTAGATATCTTAAGTCTATGAATATCCTCTGGAGGAAAAAAAAAATGATCCCTAATGACATTTCAACTACAAATTGTCCAAGAACAGAAATGAGTAGGCAAGAGGACAGCAGGTATGTCTGTAAATGAGGGAGGGGGGACAGCCACACCATTATAGAGTCTCAGCCTTCTGTGAGAGTGCTCAAGATGAGGATAAAATTGTCAGCTTAATATGAAGAGGAATAGAATATATTTCTCTTAAGCAAACACTCCAGAGAAATAAGGATATATCCAGCATAGGGCCAAAAAACCCATTTCTGGTGACATTTGTGTAGGGCCTTGAAGGCAGCTGTCACTCAGCAGCCAAATCTGAAAGAAGTAAGGATATGGTTAAGAAAGCCATCTGAAATTAGGTGCCTTTTATTTTCTTATAATTTTTCTTTCAGCTTTGATAGAAGAAGGGATCTACTCTTGAAGGTCCAAAAAATGTTGTTGCTATAGGAACAGGTAAGCAGATTAAACTTGAAAGACCAGTTTTGAAACAAAGAATTTAATAGTCAAGGCTCAAGCAATTAACCGAGAAAACATTTTAAGTAAATATCTTTGGGGTTTGTTATTTATATATTAATTCTAGGAAGATAAAATGCTATTATAGGATGAGAGCATCACATTTGAACATTTTAATTATATCATTAGCAGCATAAAAGACTGTGCTTACACAATTAGCAGAACGACCTTATTAAACAGAAGTGTGCATTTCTAACTCTCTCTTGATTACATTGTAATTGAGAAATATAACTTTAAATTCAGCAAGAACATGAGAGTCATCTTTGATTTTCCTACAGTTCCCAAGATGGAAATACATCTAAAATAAAAGAGACAATGAACTACAGAAAGTTTTCTGTTAGCAATCTCTGTAACTAGGGAGCTACAAGCAAAATTCTAGAAGTAAACAGAAATGTGTGTAGGCTGATAATTGTTAATATTTTATGTGTCTTCCCTGTCCAACAGTCTAGGCGAACAAGATACGTGAGAAGAGAAGAAGGTCAGAGACCCAACTGTGTTGCTGCTTCTCTATTGATGCCTGCTCCTTCCTATCAGGGAATACCCTGATCCTCACCTCAGGGATCGCTGGCATCATTAGAAGTTTTGAACAGAACTTGCTATACTGATGAGGCTCAAAAAAAAACAAAAACAAAAACAAAAACAAAAAACGAATTATCAAGTGGCATTGTGTTTCTCTCCCTTTCTGTTTTACTTAAAAAGAAAACATTCTTGATAAAATGAACACAATATTTTCATTCTAACAAATTTCTACAGTCAAAGGTTACATTTACAGGACAGAAAGATTTTGTGGACATTACCTCTTCTTGTGTAACCCCAGATCAAAGTGCAGAGAAGTGTGTAAGAGTGTGTATGAATGCACATGTCTGCGTGTGTGTGTGTGTGTGTATGTGTGTGTCCCAGAGATTGGGGAAAGAGAATGCGAAGAGGAGAATGTGGCTAGAATCTTACCATCTCATTCTCTTCTCCTTCATTGAGCAAAGCATGCTGGCCCTTCTCAAAGTGGTCCCCCATGAACAAGTGATTCCACTCCTCCTCCCTGACCCTCCTGGGCACACGCTTCCAGGACGAACTCGCAGAGCCACCGCCGCGCCCCAACTGACTGAAAGAGTTAATGATCCTCCAGGTTAAAACTCCTTCTGGAGCACACACCTTCTCTCAGCAAATGACAATACTTAGTAGACTGAACTCCTCCCACGAGTCACCCTCTGCAAGGAGGAATTTCTGGCTGCTCCTTGCTGACTGCATTCTCTCAAAGCAGCTGTCTCAAAGGAGTCTGCTCCCATGCCGATCTTTTTGTGCCCAACTTACAGGGAAAGAACTCATTGCCTGCCCAGTGCCTGCCAGCATCAGACATCTGACTGCAAATCCAACAGGACAATGCAGAGCTGGCAAGATCCTTCCAAGGAGCGGGTGCAAGAACTCCCAGGTTGCTGCCTTATTCACAGGAGCTGAGCCAATGGGGGTTTAGGGAAGCTAACAGAGCTCCAGATTTTAATTTGCTTAATGAAAACCCCAATCCATAGGTTTTTAATAGTACCCTCATTCATTTTGCTTACGAAAGGTACAAATTATCACTAATCCCTTTCAAAAGGTATTCGTAATCGCATTTCCTTGTGCATGCAAAAATATTCTACTTATTGTCTATGTGGAATTAAGTTTGCTTTTCTTGCAAACATAAAAAAAAATGGATAATCAAACTATTCTACGTAGTCTCCCTTCACTCAACTATTGGTGGTTAAACTCTTAAAGATGTCTAGAAATCAAATATTAAAGTGATTTTACAACAAAACTCATTTTTTATTTGCTCACAAATTATTCAATGAACACCGTTTGAGCGCAGGAACTACATAAATAAATCAAGTCGTATTTGCTACCCTCGGGCTGATGTGGGGATTCAAACATGCAAACAAGTAGGACAAAAAGGTTTTTTTTAATTCGGAGAGCTAGAATGTATAAGTCTAGGAAAAATGTCTGAAGTCCCAGTGTGGTATGAATAAGCACAAAACTCCTAGGCTCTGGAAAAACACCTTTTTTCAGCCACTTGTCTGCACTGGTCTTGCTGTGTGATAATTTAACCTACAGGAACTGGCTCTCCTCATCTGGCAACATCTGGCATGAATGTCGAGGGAACAGAATGGGACTTGAGACAGCATATCATATAGGCTCTTCAGGTGCTGTTGGCATTATCAGACCAGATGGCCAATTTGATAGCAGGTGGTATAGCATAGTGGGTAAGGGCATGTGCTTGGAATTTGAGGGATCTGGGCTCAAATTTGAACTTTGCTAAGTGGTAGACATGCCACTTTAGGGTGTAGCATGCTACCTAAACTCCATATGCCTCTACTTACTCACAAATAAAATAAAAATAAAAATCATGAAAATAGAATCTCCCTCCTGAAACCACTTTGAGGAATAGTGTCTGGGAAATAGTAGGTGTTCAATAAAGAAGAGTTACTTTTACCTTCACTATGTTCACTGTCTGTCCTTCAAGTTAAGTACAGGGTTGGCACTGATATCTCCAGCCTGACACAAGTAACCCTACAAGACCAAGTCCAGTATGTATCTGTAGGCGTGTGTGTGTGTGAACCCTTGAGCAAATGGTAAAGTAAGACAAACAATAAAAGTAAGCTAAGCAAACCCATTAGAATATTAATTACTAACATGTCACATACATAGTTCTCTGAGTTTTCAAAAATTATAAATGTAATTTAACCAAATAACAAAAATAAAATTAACATTTTTTACCCCAAAGTCAAAATATGAGGAATGGATATCTTTTTGGAACTGATCTGGAATTAGTTATGGCTTCACAACTTTGCAAATATGCTAAATTTCACTGAATCGTATACTTTGGAAGGGGGAATTTTGTGGAAGTAAATTTTTTATTAAAAAAAATATACATCAAAAACATAAGCAAATATGTTACAGCAGAGTGGGTGACCCTTTAAAATATTTGACATAGAAAAAAATAAATAAGACTATTTCTAACTTCATCTCCATTTTTTAGTGTTAGTATGTGAAGGAACATAACTATACCAGTGGTGGTATGCAGGTGAGAGAGCAACAGTTTATTCTCCTGTCTACAACTGGAGATACTGGTACTGTTTCCTCCTGGCCAGGATCCAGAACACACTTGGCAACTCAGGCACCATTGTGGAAATAAAATGAGTGAGTAATTGATTAGGAGCTGGAGGAGAAACTGCAGACAAATTTGTGCAGGAAAATGAATCAAGTTATGGCATTAACAATATTTAAGCCTAGCGTGAGCATGAAATATAAGATTCTACGATCATTAAAAGCTTTCGTAAAAAAACAAGCGTTCATGGAAAGCCACGCTCAACAGCATGATGCAGGAGAACCAAGAACTCTGAGGTAGTAAAAGAGCTTCCGTGGGCCTCTCAGGGGTTCTGATTCTACACTTCCAAATTTCATCTATGGCACACTGCTCGTCCTACTTGGTGCTGCTGGTCTACAAAGAGAAATGTGCCCCCAAACTGGTCTACATCTGTGAAAAAGCAAAGAACATGCATGCAATCTGTTCTAAACCTTTGACACACACTATCATGGACAGTCTGTACAATAGCCTCTGTGGATGGGGTAACTAGGGTCATCCCCATACAAGGAAACACACATGCAAGATTCAAAGAGTTAATAAGTGAAAGATGAGCTTTCCAACCCAGGCAATGCAACTTTCTGTGATCCTAGTTACCAGCTTAACACCACTTCTGTGGGTTTGTTGGATATAGCCGAAGTGCTCTGCAGGGACTACTGCACTTTCAAGATCAGGAAAGCCATCTTTGTGGAGCAAGTATCTGAGAAAGACCTTGAAAAGTCTTCAGTAGATGGAGATGCAGGGCCATGACATGGGAAAGAGCATTTGAAGCAGGAATGTTTGGAAGCCACTGAAGGGAGAAGCACACAGTCTTGTTCAAGGTCAGGTTCTCACCTGCATGGAAGCCAGGGAGCTGGCAGCAACCAAGGCAGTGAAATGCAGCAGGAAACACAGATCAGGGCCATCCCACAGAAGTCTTGAATGCTAAGTCAGAGTCTCAGCTTATCAATGAGTGATGATCATGTGACAGTTTCCCTGGATCCATCTGTGCTATAGGAGTCATTACACGTGCAGAGGCTAACGCGTTGAGCCCTGCTACGTGACATTGTATGTATAAAGACATTTTCCTTGAGCTTTGTTTAAAAATCTCCCTTTGGAACATTGTTTGAAAATTTTTCTTTTAATCAGCCCTTCCTCTTAATTTCTTCTGCTCAGTATTTCTCTTCTGCACTAGGATGTGTACGTTGTGATGAGAAAAGCAGATGTGGATTCAGTGTGGTCTGAATTTTAACATTGATATTTTGCTGACAGATTCCATCCATTCACTCATTAAAGTGTATTTGATTAAGCTCAGTATGCCAAGACCTGTATAGATGGAAGAACAGAGATTCACAAAGAATGATCGAGTTAAGTCTGTTATGGAAGCAAGACCAACAACAAAATATAAAATCCAAGACATGTGTTATTTCATAGGCACCACACTGGAAACTCAAGAAGAGAGTTCGATTCACAAGGCTTTGTGAAAGTGGGGAATTGGCTCTGAGCTGTCCTAGACAAATAGAGATGAAGAGAGAAAAATTTTTCTGACCAAAGCGACTGAGACCATAGAGGCGCAGACCTGTTCTGGAGAATATGAATTATACACATGTTGATTACTTAGAATTGAGAGGAATGTCCATGTGTAAAAGTTACTTCTATCATTCTGATTCTCTCTCTGCATTCACTTTTTCTCAAATACTCTGTTCCAAAGAAGCTGGGAAATGGGAGGAAAGAGAGTGAATAAATAATTAGCTGCCTCTGTTGATCTGGTATCTCCTGCTCGTGCTTATCCCAGGAGCATGGCTACCACTCTGAGCAGTTCTCAACTTCTGGGTGTCTGTAATAGATGTTAAGTAGACATAATGGCAGTACCAGTTTCTCTGCCAGGTCTGAAGGGATGCTGATATTTCACCTGCCTAGCCCATTTAGATGGTGTACAGATAAGTAGTCGTAATGTTTCATCATGTATTAATTTCCATCTTTCATCTGGGAACTCCACAGCATATTACCAACATTATCCTTGCAACATCTCTGTGAAGTGGAGAGGTGAGTAATATTATTGCCCCCATTTGAAAGCTGTAGGAACTGAGTCATAAAGAGGTCACAGAGGACTGTTCAAGGTCATGTGTCCTCAGCCTGGAGTGGAACCTGAAACAAGTACAGTATTTCTGCTTTGTCATCATGGGCAATAAGTTGGCTCGAGCCCCCTCTTCAGTCCTCTTTACACAAATCCGATTTTTGCAAAGTACTTGAGACCTTTAGTTACAGAACATTATCTAAACCCAAGGTTTTACTGTTATTATTAATTATCCTAATCTGCACTAATATACAGTTTGTAGGCCATTCTGTAGCAGGCAAAGATGTGATAGCCCAAAGAGGAATTACCTGCCTCAAGGTGGTGGTGTGAAGTTTAATTGAATTAATTAACGTTTCCAAAACATTTAGCAACCCTTGGATTAAAGGGTCTCATACAAAGACACAAGCCTCCCTATTAATTAGAGAAGAAAAGAGCAAGCTAATGGCTACTTCTGCCTCAGAGGAGTTGTTCCCAACTATCCCGCTCAGCGCTGGGTTTTGACCTTCTTTAAGGTAGTGCGGGGTGGTTAGAAGAGCTTCCCTTGTTTTCTGTTATTTCCAAAAATAAAAAATAAAGTGCTCCTCCATGTGGGCAAGGCAGCTCCCCTTCTGTGAAGCTTGCTGGAGCTAGCAACTGTTGCACCAATTTCAGGTCTCTAAGGACAGTCTGGTTGAGTTCCACCCAAAACCCAAAAGAGTCAGTCCCCAGACAGAAACTTCATCAGTCCCCAGACAGAAACTTCATGACAGTGTGTTTGGCTTTGAAAACCTTTAACCTGAAAATCTGAATATATATAAAACAATACATGTTAAAGTGTGATTATTAAGAATTATAGTCTATTGCAACTAGATTGAGCCTTAGAAATGACTATTAGCTTCATCATTTTTCAAGTTAAAAAAGGAGGGGGGGCTGTATAGTGATTTGTCCATGGTTAACATCTGCAAGAGGTGGAACTCAACCAGACTCAGGTTTTATTTATTTATTTATTTGACTCAAATTTCACATGGCACCATATTGCTACACATTTTTTGTAAAGTAATCAGAATGGGATTCTTTGAAACAATCTCCCTAGAATGTTTTTTTTTAAAGAATGTCATTTGCAAAGTATTGATCTAAAGAGAACATCTCCAGAACTCACTGACTGTATAAAGTCTATGTCAAATCATAGACTTGTAGGGCATAGCCAGTGACTTAGGCAG